AAAAAAAAAAAAAAAGCTTCTGACATAGGGTTGCAAATTATAGGTTGGGAAATACCTGGAGACTTGGGGATAGAGCCTGGGGAGAGCTGGGGCTGGGGGAATGGGTCTGGGGATGGGTACACCTCAGCTGGGTATAAAGCTACAGGGCCTACCACCCAGAGCAGCCATTTTCTCCAAGAAAACTGATCTCTGTAGTCTGGAATTCTGAACTCTGGATAATTCCAGGGGTCATTTCCTGTGGGAGCACACAGGAGCAGAGCTCCAGCAGTAAGGAGCCCAGGGGGCGGGCACATGCAACAAGCCCCACCCCCTGCTCCCAGCAGCCCTCAGTCAGGCCACGAGGAGCAAGAAGAAGCCAGGTGATAGCAATCCAAAACAGTCCAGTGACACCTTTAAGACCAAGTTTTATTCAGGTACAAGCTCTCCCTCCTCTGCGATGACAGATCTTATGCGCCCCCCCCCCATAGCTAGCAATCCAAAACAGTCCAGTGGCACCTTTAAGACCAAGTTTTATTTAGGTACAAGCTCTCCCTCCTCTGTGAGGACAGATCTGCACGCCCCCCCCCCCAATAGCTAGCAATACAAAACAGTCCAGTGGAGCCTGAGCGGTGGATGTTGCCTTCTGACACACTTCCGGTGATGTCAGGGGGTGTGGCATATGCAAATAAGTTATGCAAATAAGTTATGCTAATGAGCTCCTGCACGTCTTTTTCTACTAAATGACCCCTGGATAACCCTGAAATGTCTCTAAGCCCCACCCGGAAGTTGGCAACTCTGTTCCCACAGTCTGCTAGGATCGGACACAGTGTCACATTATTTTTACACTGCATTGTATTTTTAGGGTAATTATGAAAGATAAGATGTTACATATAGAAGGTTAGTGCCTGACTAGAAAAGGCCAGCAATCTTCAACATTTGAAACAATTTATTTATAAACTACATTTGAATTTCTGCAAACCCCAGAGATTGTGTTTTATTTTAAACTGATATAATCAATTCCATGCACACATATAATCCTGGCTGAGTGAGCATTAGCTGATAAAATTGTCTTTTTTATCATTCCCACAAAGCTGCAAATATCTACTTTTGACAAATGGTTCAGTTCTCCACAGTATTTATTTAATGTAATACCTAAGCAATACAATCATCTTCATCATCATCATCGTCGTCATCATCATCATCATCATCATCATCATCATCATCATATGGCATTATGTGTTGTATAGCAAGGAGATCCTAAAATAGTTTGGCAGCCAGACGTTCTAGCTCTTTTAGCATTATGCACCACTACGTGGTGAGCTAGACTTGTTTTCGAGGCAAGATATTTTTCAGGGATGGTTTGCCATTTCCTGCCTCTGCGTCATGACCCTGGTATTCCTTGGAAGTCGCCTATCCAAATACTAGCCAAGGCTGACCCTGCTTAGTTTCCGAGATCTGACAAGATCAGGCTAGCCTGGGCCATCCAGGTCAGGGCATCTAAGCAATACAAATTTCACAGAACCAAGTAAAAATTAGATGTTTCCAACTATAGGAGTCCAGATGCTTCCAGGAAATCCACAAACATAGTCTGAAAGCATCAAGTTATTGTACTATTGTAAAAGCAACAGTTTTGGGCTGTGAGGTGAATGAATGGAATCTGGTTTTTGCAACCTATGTGCTCTTTTTCCAAAATGTGAATATTCTAACTATTCAAATCTTTGCTTGTTAATACTTGTTTTAACTATGGACAGAAATCATTTTTCACATTTAGAAGGAGACAACTCACTGTGAAAACTGGTTGAAAATTGTACTTTCTTTTCACATATACCATGAATTTGTGCAATCACATTAATTCATATTGATTTACTGCTTTATTTTGGACTGGAACACAGAAATCTAAATTTGAGGGTGAAAAGGTTTTTCTCACTACTAGTTTCCAGAGTATGTATTAACAAATCATCTCTCTTTCCCAATTTTTTTTTGAACAATGCTGTTACAAATTGTTAATCTGTGGTTTCAATCTCTTTTCATAGGTTTTCTTTCTTCACTGAGCCTCTCATACCTTTAAAAACATGCCTGAACAAAGCAATGATTACAGGGTGGTGGTGTTTGGAGCAGGAGGAGTTGGCAAAAGCTCGCTGGTCCTGAGGTTTGTAAAAGGCACTTTCAGAGACAGTTATATCCCTACAATTGAAGATACCTACAGGCAGGTGATCAGCTGCGATAAGAGCATATGCACTTTGCAGATTACTGACACAACAGGGAGTCATCAATTTCCTGCCATGCAGCGTTTGTCTATTTCCAAAGGACATGCTTTCATTTTGGTCTATTCTATCACCAGCCGGCAGTCCTTGGAGGAACTCAAACCTATCTATGAAGAGATTTGTCAGATTAAAGGGGATATAGACAGCATTCCAATCATGCTGGTGGGGAACAAGAACGATGAGGACCACAATCGAGAGGTCCAGACTAGTGCTGGGGAAGCCATGGCCAAAAAATGGAAGTGTGCCTTTATGGAAACTTCTGCCAAGACAAACCACAGTGTGAAGGAGTTGTGCCAAGAGCGGCTGAACCTGGAAAAACGCAGGACTGTGAGTTTACAGATTGATGGCAAAAAAAGCAAGCAGCAGAAAAGGAAAGAGAAGCTGAAAGGCAAGTGTGTCGTCATGTGAAAACAGCAATCCTTTCAGCTCCTGGCTGAATCAGGTTTCAGGCCTATAGACAATGCGAACACATGTAAGACTATTTAATTAATATATGTTTTGAAAGAAATGTAGTAGATTTAAAAAAAATGATGTGGGGTAAAAGTACTATAGCGTTTTTATAAATTCTCCATTGACAAAAAACAGTACTGAACAATCAGTGATATTTATTTCAAAATCATAGAAAACAGCACATTCGTAACTATGCTATGCTGTGTATAGAATTATGAAAGATGTATTTATTTATGATAATAACATTTGGAAAACTCCTCAATACATTTAAGGTTAAAGAAAAGTAGCGTTCCTGGATGACAAGTATTCCTGTGTACATTTATTTTATATTCTGGTTTCATTAATGCTCTTTGTGATGCTTATGAGCAGAATTTAAATCATGGGCTTCATCACACCCTGGAACTCCTCTCTACACTTCCAGACCTCAATAACATATAGCTCCAAACATTTTCATTCCTCTGAAGACATAATTTGGCCACTATTAGACATAACTGATTAACAATCCAGAAGTATATGAAAATGGTCAGGAGTCAGAAAGACGAACTGTTTGTGACCAAAAGGGGGATTTTAGAGGGCAAGTGCCTATGCTGTATAATTAACTATGTATTTAATTTAATGTTCTAATTCACAAGTAGACTGATGACTTTCTATTATTTAAGGGTTTTATGATTAGATTATGTAATCTTATTTACTGTCATGTACTGAAAGGCAAAATTTTCCAATCTTTATTCATAAAAAAAGTGGGCTGGTCAGGTTAATGACACAGGAACTTCCCATGCTGTCAGCTAATCCCTCGTTGTGTAAACTGGGAATACAGGGAGTGTCTCCTGTGAAAACAAAAGCATGGTATGGCATAGGGTTTCCAGTACCAAATTCAGCATTCTCATTTGTTAGGGTAAAAACTAGGATTCTATCCATGGACATATAAGTTTTGGCCCACAGCAGCCAATCCTTGGCTGGTTGGTCTTGAATGCACAGGATGAAACCACTGTGCAGAGTAGAGTTGCCAGCCTCCAGGTGGGACCTGGGGATCCCCTGCTATTACAACTGATCTTCAGCTGACAGAGATCAGCTCCCCTGGAGAAAACGACTGCTTTGAAGGGTCTTTGAACCATATTGAGCCACCTCCCCTCCCCAAACCCTACCCTCTCCCAGATCGACCCCCAAAGTCTCCAGGTATTTTCCAACCCAGACCTGGCAACCCTAGTGCAGAGTAAGCTTACAGTGGTATTTATGAGTCAGAATGGGGGTGAAGAGACGAACACTATGCATGGGATCCAATAAGTTCTTCTCACTAAATGAGATATCTTCCACTGGAATAAGAAGTGGAATAAGAAGTTCTCTCACTGGACAAGAGTCCTTTTTCAGTAGAAGAAGCCTATGTCCTTCGCTCAGCAGAAGGGAAGTCAATGATATATTGGGGGAATTCCAGCTCGGATCGTGGATCCTTTGGTTGTCATTTGTTGTATCTCCCTGTAAACCTTTTTTTTAAAACAACAACAACACAAAGGTTAACATTTACAAAGAAACCTGCATGATGACAACAAATATTTAAGATTTGAAAAACATTTATTTTTAAATGGTATGAAAATTGTATAGGCTATATTTTGCATCAGAACAAGGTACTTTGAAAGAGAACATAACATTTTGGCAAGATTGTGTATATCAAAAGCTGGAGAATGCAGTTAAGTGTTCATAAAAATAGCATGCTTGTTACATTTTAAATGTCACCAAAGAGCTGTTTAAACGCATCGTTCACTTTTGAATACACATTGCTCATGAACACTTGAATGCTGTGAACCTTTCTTCTCAGTAGCTCCTTGCATGCATACAGAGAACCACAGGCAATCAGATGTCTGCAGAATAAGACTGTGGGACACTTCTGTTTATTTTTTTATCCTCCATGCAGATGTCAAACTATTTCAAATTTTCTGAATAGAAGAGTAAACAGAATTGATACACCAAGGGTAACATCATTAGACAGACATAGTGAAGTACAGTGGAAGTGATTTCAATATGGTCACTATATTCCAATGTCAAGTGTTTGTTCTCAAAGCAGAGAACATGCTTCAAAATCATCTCTACTACAGTTAAAATATCTGTTCATCTTCAGCCCAAGAATGCTTCCAGTGTATCCTGTTATCAGGTGTCTCTGATTTCATTGCATCTTGATTAATCTAAAGAATAGGCATTTTAAAAACCATTTCTAAGCACATGCAGGACTTCCATATGGTTTTAACCTAAGTGGCTTCTCTTTCTACCTGTCAAAAATCCAGTGGCATTTAGCATGGCAATAATTCACTGTGTAATCACATCAATGGCTTGCTCAATTTGTCAGCCAATGCTTAAATAAAGACTTCCATCTTTTATATTTGGGTCCCCAACAAGAAAAATGGGAAACCAAACGGAATTAATACTTTTCAGAATATATTTTTATATCTGGTTATTAAGATATCAGGCCATATACAATATCTGCTTTATTTTTTCCTTTTCTTTTTTGAAGATTTATCCCCACCTTTTGATTAAATAATTCTCAAGATAGATAAGAAATAATATATTCAATTAATTACTGAAAAAGATATAGTCAGTGGACTTGAGCTTTCTGACCAAACTATCCTTCCCTTACAGTCTGCAGTCCTTGGGTAACTGTCATTTGACCAGAATGTTCTTTCTGCCAGGGGCTTTCCTTCCTTCCTTCCTTCCTTCCTTCCTTCCTTCCACATTCATTAGCTGCCTTTCTCCTCAAGGCAGCTTACAATGCCAATAGACTTAGTAAAAAAACACAATAAAAGTAACTTTAATGACACTAATCGAAGTCACAGTTTTAAAAACTCCAATTAGGACTGCCAATAATAAAAGTTAAATCAATCAAAATGCAGCCCTAAATAAAGCTGTCTTCAGTTACCTTCTGAAGATCGATGATGAAGAGGCCAAGCACACCTCCCCGAAGAGGTTGTTCCATAATTATGGGGCTGCCACGGAAAACACCCTCTCTCACGTAGCCACCTAACAAGCATCTTTAATTGGTGGGAGAGGAGGGCATCTCCCCATGATTTTTCTGGCCTTGTCTTCTTCTAGACAAAGTGTTCTTCCTGTGAGGGTATAGTCATCTGGAATAAAAATTGGAATCCCAGGGCCAACCTATAAAAGAAGTGGGTCATATGTGGCTCTTCCTTCAGATAGGGTTGCTGTTCTCCAGGTGGGGCCTGAGGTCTCCTAGAATTACAACTAATCTCCAGACTACAGAGATCAGTTCCACTAGAAAAAATTGGTGTTTCGGAGGGTAGGATCTATGCTGAGGTCCCACCCCTCCCCCAACCCCACCTACCCTAGGCTGTGCCCCCAAATCACCAGGAATTTCCCAACCTGGAGCTGAAAACCCTACCTTCAGAGCTTCAGTTCCCCCGAGCTTTTCACTAAATTTTTCCTGCTTTGATCTATTTTCCATGGTCTGTGTAAACCTACTAAACAGTTACAATATATAAGTGGGAGCTATCATTGGAACTATTCACTCTGTATTTCCCAGACCTATATGTTCCCAAGAGTCAGACAGTTAGCTAAACATCTTCAAGCAACCTTTTCAATTCTGTGGCCTTCAGCTACTAACAGCAATCTTATAGTATATCTTTGTGCTGTAACAGCTGTTTCTCTTTCTCTTCAAATGCACAGAATCCCTGAAGAAATGGTAGAAATCCTTCTTAACGTAATTGCAGTTTACATCGTATAATAGGAAGAAAGGTTTTCTAATCCCCAACTGCTACTGCTGATTGCAATTCTAATCCATCCACACCAATGAAATCCAAGGAATCAAAGTACAAATCTAACAGGGCTGTTAAAAGCTATTTCTGTTGTTTTTCTTTTTTGTAGTAGCTCCCTAATGCAAGACTCTGCCAAACCACTAGAAAAGTCTGTTAAATGTAAAGAAAATACCTTTTTTGTTTTCCACTGATTCAACTCTTATAACAATTTAATAAGCCATGGTTATATTTCATGGCCCTGTATTGATTAATGCAGGGTTAGTATAGAAGCAATATATATTCCTGATCCAGTAATTCTAAAAGGAATATATTTTATATTATGCCCTTCTGCTATCATTGTAATTTATAATATATTATAGGTGTCGGTGGGTTTACCAAAATATTTGTTTTGCTATTACTTGTATAAGAAAGTATTTTTTTTTGATAGATGAATAAAACTCATCGAAAAGGATGAGTTATACAGCTTTATTATATTTTGTGATATGTTTACAAGTGTGATATTGATAGACATGAATTATTTGAAAACATACACAATTAAGACAAGTTTAAAACTTTCAAGGAATTTCAGCATTATAAAAATATGATATGAACAAGTATGCTGTTTACAAAGCATGAATTTTACATACATGTGTAACCTGTTAAGATATATAGTTATCGTTCAGATGTATTTATTGTTGCAGTTTCATTACCAAATATTTTATTCAACAGCAAATACCATGTAATTTGTGCCTACTGGTTTCTATGTTTCCTGCGATATTCTGTATATAAATTACACAAAATAAATGTTTTAAATTACAAATATCAACATGGGAAACTGTCTTGACTCCTATTGGATTTGTCTGAATGAAGAAAATTAGATTGAGACATCTCTATAGCAATGGGCTTCATCTTCCTGACCTACCACATACTTGGTCTGCTGGTGATACTTTCTGGCTCTTGTTAGCTGTGTCTAGGTCTAAAAATACTTGGAGGTATATGGGTTGACCAATCTCTCTCTAATGATATGTATTTGAAAACACACACAGAAATGATGCCACATCTTTAGATCAACATTTCCCTGTCCCTTACAAGAAGCAGGTGACATCTCATTTGCCTCTCCCCCACTATTTTGTCTTTTCAATTTCTGAATGCCCCCATTTAGTGTCTCCCCTTTTCCTGCTTCCATTTCTCCTTCCCACCCACCAGCCAACCTACTGTTAC